GTGGCGCGGGGTGCTCACTGTGTGTGTTTTACATGAGGCAATGGGCTGTGACCTGCACACCCTAACCCTATTCTCCCCCCGCAGGAATGTACATCGACCGGCGTTGTGTGTATTACCGCAAACCCCTCCTCGAGTCGGGGACCCTGGGCACAAAGGGGAACGTGCAGGTGGTCATTCCTTTCCTGACCGAGTCGTACAGCTCCAGTCAGGACCCGCCAGAGAAATCTATCCCCATCTGTACGCTGAAGAACTTCCCCAACGCCATCGAGCACACCCTGCAGGTAAGGCCCTGCCCGTCCTTGGGCGGGGGTTGGGGGGCTGCTCTCTCCGAGGCTTCCTGGGGGAGCTGGGGCTGGGTCTCGGGGAGACCTGTTCGGTCTCTGGGAGAGTCGCTCAGAGGACCCCAGGCTCACGCTATGGGACACCGTAATGCCACCACGGTGATGTGGTGTGTGGCCCAGTCACCAGGCTAACCGTCTGGTGTTACAGAGTCTCTCAGCATGGAAACGGACCCTTTTGGCTCAGCTCGTCCTCACCTAACAGGTTTCTCCAAACTGAGCTAGCCCCGCCTGCCTGCTTTTGGCCCTTTCCTATGCTGCAGCGGTAGGTGCTGAAGTTTGCATTCGGCAAAATTTCCAAAGCCAGCTTTGACGAGTGACCGTGACACCACTGTCAAAGCCCCGTCTGATACACAGACATCCCCAAAAGGGAGGAAACCAGCTGTCTGTACCCAGGCCTTGACCTTACTCAACTCTCCAGCATGCGCTCCCCCTGTCTCTCTCTCTCTCTGACACTGCGATGCAGTTGGCACTTAAGCTCCCTCTGGGCATCGAGGGATCAGCATCGATTGAAATGCTGACCTTCCCAGTGATTGGCACAGACCTCACGAAAGAACCAACTTTTCTTCTGAGGAAAAAAAAGACCTTTTCAGGAACAAAACAGTCGTCAGAATTTTACCGAAAGCTCAAAACGTGGCTTCGAGGTCAGGGACAGGTTGGGGTGAGGGGGAGACAGGGAGAGGTGTGCAGGTTTAGGGAGTCAGGTTGAGTTTCAGACCCCAGGCAGTTAAAGCGGGAATCTGCAGGGCACGAGAGGCCGGAATTGGAGGAGCAGGACGCTGTCAGATATTTGTATGTGATTATGGAGTTGAGAAGGGCTGGAGGGGGTGTAGGGGGCTGGAGGAGGTGGCGGAGATAGGGAGGGGGTGTAGGGGGCTGGAGCGGGTGACTGAGATAGGGAGGGGGTGTAGGGGGCTGGAGGAATGTGAAAGTGACAGTTTGGAATATCGAATGGGGAGGTGCCTGTGTTTCCCTGGATTCCTGCCGCTGGGTTGGAGAGTTACGGTGCGTTGTGCCGTGTCGGGAGCAGGTAGCACACGGGGTGTGGCTGGTGTCGATGTGACTGACTGTTTCTCCCCGCAGTGGGCCCGGGATGAGTTTGAAGGACTCTTCAAGCAGCCAGCCGAGAATGTTAACCAGTACATCCAGTAAGTGACTCCCTGCCT